TAAAAATCATGTGAATTGATATTGTCAGTTAAGCCTTAGTGTTCTTAAGCTTTTGTTAATCTTGTCACCATCTTTATATTGTTAAAGATATTTGTCTTCTGGAGATTTCCTATAAAGATGCTTATAATTACATGTTTCATTCCCAATTTGTGTGTGTGTGGGGGGAGGGGACTTTTTTAGGTGACTATTAATTATTTTGTACATCTAATTTTGGGAAAGCAAGTATATAATACATCTTCTTGTGACTTCTTAACTTTTTTGTTTGTATGTTTTTCAAAGATACCACTGTCTTTGATCATGTTTTGAAGATTGTTTAAAATTCATTTTCCTAAATTCATGTGGAAATGCTTTGAGAATATCAACATTTTATATTAAACACATTTCCAACTCATTAAATTGAGGTGTAATTTTTTAAAGAAATGTGTGCCGGTCTTAGAAATGAATTTTGAATTGTACAGTGGCCAGTGCATATCATGTAAGTGATGCTTAGATTAATTTTTTTTTTTCCAGTTTAACAAGCATGTAGTTAATCTGATTGTCAGTTCAGGGAATGTTTGGCAGTTTTCTAGGTACAATAAAATGAATGATAGATCTTATTTCTGAATCCTTTATAGTTTAATGGGAGAAGTGGACATATGAACACTCTTATATTCTCTGGTAAAAACAATCATAGAATTCTTTGGGAACACACGACGGAGTTCAGCCTCGTGTGTGTGCTCCCATTGTGGTAGCGAGAGGTGGAGAAGGGAAAGCCTTCCTAAAGAAGATAATACTATTTTTAATTCAGAACTCTTGGGATTTAAAATAAAAAGATAGCCTAAAAAAAGTCATATCTAACCAACTTAGAATTTATTAAAATGAATTTATTAAATCAGCTTTTCTATTTTGTTAGGGGGAAAATTGGTCTAGACTTGTCATACAGAACTTTTTCTAATTTGATTTCAATCTATATTCTCTCATCTTTCCACTGTCATCTACTTTTTAGTCATATAAAATTATTAATTTATACTTTAATTACTTTTGGCTTAACACCAAGCTTAAGCCTTTTATTCATAGGAAATTACCTTGGGTTTTCTTTCTTTCAGTATTTTTCTTTGGAAATGTACTGTGCTAAAATAAATGTGAAATGTCAGCCGTATTCAACATTTTTTTTAATGGTGAAAAAGACCTTTAATTGTTAACTGTGTCTGGACTGTGGAACTGGGAGTGGACATGCTCGGAAGGCCTGCTTGACCAGATTGTATAAAACCCCGCAGGAAAACACAGTCCCCTGCTTCCCTCTGCAGCCTCTTGTAACTGGGCTTGTCCTTGCGAAAGTCTGGAAACTTTGCCCACGGGCTACTGAAAAACATGGTTCTGTGTGGATGAGGCTCCCTGATGCTCGTGTGGTCGCGTGAGGTGGTCCCTGCTCTTACAACTGAGTGTGTCCCTTTCGGGGGCTGGAGAGATCAGGGTCAGGACTCCTGTGGGGACTCCATTTGAAGATGTGCTTTATTTTATACACTGTTTTCTGGGCTTCATTCTAATATGAATGAAAGGAGCTAGGTTATGGACTGTTGTCCTGTGAGTGTGAATGTCACTTGGAACCCAAGATCACAGGTGGTTGTTTGGAATAGGCGTTGCCACATTGTATCTCCACACCTCAGGCCTTGAACATGCTATCCTTCTTCTTAGAACACCCTTTCACTACTTGTCAACTTTATTTTTTTCAAAATCTGGCTCAAATGTCATCACCCACACTTGCTGAAAAGGAATATTCATTACCTCTCTTGTTCCCCTATAATGATTTGTTTGTATTTCTCTTATCAATTTTATTTCATTATTTGTATACATATTTTCCCCTGTAGACTACAAGCTCCTAAAAGACAAACATTTTGCATTTCCTGTATTTAGTATGTTAGTAGCATATAGTAAACAGAAAACTTTGCTGAGTCAATAAATGATTGTCAACTCATTTGGAATTAAGGTATGAATGAGAGAACCTGGTACTTGTTATTTCTAAGCACAGAGTTTTACGTTTAGTTTCTTACCAGCTTATAATATTTGGGATATTTCTTGAAGCATAAAGACCATCAGATGGGATTTTGAAATATTTCCTAAAAAGAATCTCAATAAAAGCTCAAGGATTATTTTTCCCAAGTAATTAAACATTAGATAATCTTTTCATCTATAGGAAAAATCCAAAATTCTTGGTAAGACCTTCAAGGTATTTCATAATCTATCTCAACCTTTTCAGTCTTCATTCCTAACCTATTTGCCCTATGCTTCTGTTCTTGCTTTTGCAAATATCTATATTCTGCACAAATGGTATATTTTCTACCTTATCGATCGTGACCAGGGGTTTCTTCCCTAACTCCCATCCCCTCCCACTGACTCCACTTCTACTGACTGAAATGCCACTGCACCAGGCCATTCAAGGCCCAGCTGAAATGTTATCTCTAATAAGCCCCCTTTTGCTTCTGGGTTCCCAGGATACTGCCTTGTATCATAGATGCAGCTATTCAAAGAGTGCTGTAATTAAGTTACATTAAACGTGAACTTAAAATGAACTTATAAAATGGTAAATCTATTTAGAAGCGAATGAACCCAGCCGAAGTTTACATACTATTGTGGTTTTTTAAAAAGTACAGGTTTCTGAAATTTTATGAACTATTATATAGAATATAATAACCATTTTTAGAGTTTTTAAGTAAATACTTGTGATATAGTTAAGTTAGAGAAATTTTACTTCATTCTGCAGTTTGAACAAAAGAATTCCAAAGTTGGAAACCTCTTTAAACTTTATGAACACTTGTAATAAAAGACAAACAGTATACATTAGTTTAGAAAGAATTTTCATATTTCCTAATCTTTCCCAGCAACCCAGTGATATAGGCAGAGATGATCATACCTAATTTCTTTGGTGAGTAAGCCAGTTCAAAGAGTTTAGGTTTACCAAAATCAAATATTAAGTGTTAAAAGCAGGATCTGAGCCAAGGTTTGCCCAGGGTTTTTCTCATTCTAAGTACAGAAATGTTTCCAGAGTACTGTGATTCTCAGATTTCCTGGCTTGTTGGAATAGCCCACCAAAAAGAATTTCCAACTAATATTTGCCACCTTAAAGTTCTCCCTTGGTTTGAATTGTCAACCTGAAGCTTTTCTTTGAACTTTAAAATTTCGTGTAGTAAAATTTTCAGCTTTTTCCTCCTACTCAACAAGTTTGGCAAATAAAATTCTTATCAATATATTGCAAATGCTGTGCACGTGTATTTAATGGTCATTTAGATTCGTGAGCTTATATAAGGGCTGAAAATGTGGTTTGTATGAGTGTTACCAGAGAATCAAACTTCTGTGGCTTGTGGGAGAAGGTTCTTGCGATATCTTTAGAAAATGAATTTTCTAAGATTCTCGTGGGAGAATGAGATGTAGTAAAAGGCTTTATTTGCATTCGTTGGGTTGCAAAGTCCCATGTCCCAAAAAGGGTGCAGCTGGGGTTCCAATAGGGCCAAAAGCAAGGCCAGCGTCCAGAGCTTCTGTTCCATGTTGCACCCAGTGTAGTTCAGCATCCAAGCTAATTAAAGTCCATTAGTCCATTGTGTGGAGCCCACACAGCCGCAAACCACGTAAACCACGAGGGTGCAGGGGAGCGCATCCCCTGCAACAGCCGTCACGGGGGCGCAGGCAAGCAGACGAGAGAGCATGCTGCTTTGTGCAGAAGTTTAAATATTCAGGTTTCTCATGCTTATATGGCCATGCCCATCCTGGCCACTAATATGTTCCCAGGTGTGGCTGGCAGGCAGACAGGCACCTTCCCACATCACTCAGCCCTCACTGGGCGTGCATCTAAGCTGCCTTTGTCCAGTCCCTTCACTCAATCAGCAGGGAATCGACTTGGAGAGTGTGAAATGCAGCTTTTTGGAAAAGCTGTATAAATGGCATGCCTATGTTATCTAGTCTTTCCTGTTAATAACCAGATTATTACAACTGTATCATGAGTTTGTATTGAAAAGTGTGCTTGATAAGCTTTTCCTAAAGCATGAAACAGGATGATTTAACACACTTTAGGGTTCTCCAGACAAATGTGCTTTAGGTCTTTATAAAACATTATTATTTTTTTTTAAAAGAGAACTTCTCCAGAAGTATATAAGGTAAATTCATTGCTATTTGATAGTGAATTCTAGTTTCCACAAGGATTTTAACTAAATTGCTTTGTACTAGGTTTATTTGATGAAAGCAACTGTCTTAATGCAAAGAATTTTATCTGTTCTTATTGGGTAAGGGATAACACACTGGGCCTCATGTTTAATACCAAATCAAGCAAAAAAGTTGTCACATAGCTATCCTTTATGTTGTGTGTGTAATATGCACCAGGCACTAGTCTAAGCATTTTCTGTATATTACTTAATTCAGTCCTCACAATAGCTCTATCCTGAGTTAGCTTTACTACTACTATACTATCCTATTTTATAGAGCAGGAAGGAGACATAGTAAGTGGTTATAGTGAAAGATCTTCAAATTTTTTATCGAGGAGGGAAATTTAAGGACAGTGGATTTATTACAAAGAGAAACAGCTCCAAGAAAATTAATTTTTTGTGTGTAGCTCTGTACTTCTGAATTAGGTATAGTCAATTGGGGCATTTTATGTTTACAAATTGTAGGTATCAGAAGAACCCAGAGAACATGTGACTCTATAAGGTTTGACTAATAGATTCAGAAAAGTTGTGAAACTTAGTGAAATATACATGAAACATTTTTAAATGGCTGCTTGTTAAAGGCAAGGAGAGTGTTAGTAAAGAGCTTAGCTGGCTAGATTAGAATAAAGAAACAGTCTCTCCATCTGCTAATTAGCTTATCTCTCCGGCTTCCATTGTGTGCTGAAGAGAGAAGGCTGGGAGGTACTTTGGAACAACACCATTTTTATTTAAGCTCGTTTATTATGGTTTTGGAATGTTTGCCGATTCTCAAACATAAACTTTTAAATGTCAGACCTTTCCTGTAAGAAGCAGCTTGAAGGCTCTGGGCGCTCGGATAAGGATTTTGGCCTCTCCTGATCCCTTTGGTTTTGGCCAAATGATTATGTTTCATTTTGGGAAGATTTCTTTGGGTATTTTGATATTTGTCCTGATAGAAGAAAACCTTCCATCGTTAACAGGTACTTAAACATTGACATTGTTTTTTTATCGTTTATATCCGCATCTAATTCTCTCTAAAAATAATATTTGGTGTGACTGCTATAAGAAATGGAATCTAATACTAGTCTTTTACTCTTTGATATTGCTTCATTTAAACTGTTTTAAAAATCTCCGCCATAGCTTTGGTTTTCCTCTTCATTAGTATTTCCTGGTTCAAACCTTATTTCCTTTCCTTTCTTGTGTTGAGATTGGATGTATACTTGGCTTCAGTAACTAACAATCTTGAAACGAAGGGGTAGGAACGAGATGGAGAAAAGCTGGAAAGCTTCGCTCCTCCCCAGTGCACGCGCCTCTCTGGTCTGAGGTTGACTTCGAAAAACCCAACGGTGGCCCAAATCTCAGTTTTTCTTTATCTTCTGTGCTTTCTCTTCATTCATCCTCAGAAGCCTGTTTACGCTGTCACTCTGTAGCACAAACCTACCTTCCTTTAGAAGAAACCCAAGCACCCAAGAGCGCCCTTTCTCTTCTCCTGACCGACTCCGAGCCTGCAGGCCGGCCTCCGGCGGGTGGAGAGAAGCGACGGCCGGGCCTCGGGGGCGCAGAGGGGCGGCGGTGGCTCCGGAGGCGGCGATCTCCTCTCCGGCCCGATGGGGTCAAAGTCTGCCCGGGGGAGAGCGTCCCCGAGGCTGTGGCAGACCATGTGAAGTACTTTCAAGTCCGAGGTGAGCAGACGTCCAAGCCCCCGGGCTCTGAAATGGAGCTCAGACGTGGCTTCATCACATTTGTTGTGTCTCATTTTCATTGAAAATTTGTCCTAATTTAGGCAGGGACTGAGCCAAATAGCTTTCTACTAGCTACGGACAAAGGACTTGTTAAGAGTGTAGTATTTATTCACCTTCAGAGGAAAGTGGACATTGTTGAAGAGAGAGAAGGATTTGAATCTTTTTAAGCACTTCAAAAATACCAGTTTAGGATATGGGATAAGGTAATTATAATTTCTACTTCTTCGTTATAGTAATTTGCCTAAATATACCCACAAAATATATTTACCAAGCTATGCTTCCCTATTTAACTACTTGGTTCTTTATATACATAAATATATAATCAATTTCAATATTGTATAGTGTAGACATTCTATAGGCTCATGCTGGTTATTGTCGAGACACCCATAAGACTTGGGCAACTAAAATGATGGCACTTGTCACAATGGACCCTAGTGCAACAAAACTAGGATTTTATTTTAGTTTAGTTTATATTTATTTATTTAATTTTTAAGCAAACAGTATTATCCTTGACTTCATACCTTTTTATTATGCGAAGCCATTCTCTGTTTCCTCTATTTACTAACCAGAATTGCTTAATTGACCATAATATATCCCTTAGCTATTTGGAGTACTCCCAAACTTTGCTTTTTGCCCCTCGAGAGCCAATAAAAAGCCCTAAATGTTTCTTTAGCTCTTACTGTTTCTCAGGCACTGGGCTATATGAACCTTTAGTCTGAGCTGCTATTTATCTCCTTCTGATTTTCCTCCATTTTGCCCTTCCTCTCTTCCCCCCTCACTAAAGCAAGTGTTTTTTTTTGGGTTTGTTTTTTTTTTGCCCCTCAAGAGCCAATAAAAAGCCCTAATATGGCTGTCTTTTTGTTTGTATTTATTTATTTATTTATTTATTTACTTACTTACTTACTTACTTATTTATTTATTTTTACTTAAAATATTACAGATGTCCCTTTTTTTCCCCAATGACCCATTCCACCCTGTCCCA